CTTGGCATAACGTCGCACAACAAGGACCAACAGGTACCAACGCTGTAGTTTACATGCCTGCGCTGTTAGGTGGTGATTATCGGAGAGTCACCGTGGCCTAAATGTCACGTAGCCATCATCGTTTGAACGGTTTCCACTTCTTTGTTTGTACTTCAGAGTAAGAAGTCGTCGTAAGCACGCATGAGGAACAACTCGTGAAGCCATGTCGGACGACAACAGTCGTAAGTCGTCACGGGACAGCCTGGACCAGGACACCGGGGCGGCCGCCGCGCCTCCGCGGGCCAGCTCGCGATGGCCTCTCCCCAGGCAGATTCTGAAGAGTCAAGAGTCTACGGTCAGTGTCGGGTCGGGGACTTCCTCCTCCTCAGAAGACGTCAATGATCCCATGAAGAAATGGAGGAACATGACCGAAAACCTCAAGGAACAAGAGGTAAGCGCCTTAACGTGTTTACCATCAATGTTTGAAGTTTGTTGCCTTGACGTGCTTCGAGTATGGCTAGCCTGTAGGTTAAATATACAAAACAATAAGGCTTCGTTTATCTTCAAATAAGGGATTAACCCAGGTACAGTTCGCCCATCCAAATGTACCAGGGTTAAGGTCGAGGAGTGCGGGGGTTGTCATGATCAGTTGGAACACAACTCGTACTGCTGAATACCCGCATACAGAGAGTTATAGAGTATGTGATAAATGCTTGACATAGTAGCTGTAGCACAAGGGCAATAAATGTTATGATGCCTGTACGTCTGCTACCTACTTGCTTCTGCATCACATTAGCATGCGTATGTATACTGTTGCTTCCGCGAAGTATAATGGAAGTTTTATTTTCGAAAATGATTTACGTCTTCCAAAGTTTTGGAAGCCTCCTTTTATTACCCTCTAGGTGCTTGTCACGGATTGCCCATTAAAGTAAGAAACTTGTGCATGATTTGGAAAGTTTGTGACGTTACTGGCTTAACTTTATTTCTTCGGTTGACACAACAGTACGGGGAAATGCGGTAGACCTATATGCATTGGACAACTTGTAACTTGTAGATGTATAGATCAAAGGCATTTATTGGGACGGATGGTCCCGCCTCATACATGCTATTTCTGTTTATTGAAACTACTGCTGCACAAAGGAAAATGTATCGAAGAAACACCCACATTCCAGGCTACACCCTAACCTGCGGGATCATACTTTTAGCTGAATATACGAAACCCGATACGTCTCTTTTTTTACGCCAGGTTATAGCGGAAAAGGCAGTTTAGGGCAGCAACACAAAATACGTGACAAAATACCTCCACTATTAGTTAGTCAGGCTAACTGCCGCTAACATATGAAATCTGGTGTTATGAAACTACACCATAACGTTACATGTGGATGAGGGTGAGTGTGAGCGTGTGTATGTGTGTGTGTATGTGTGTGTGTGTGCGTGTGCGTGTTTACGCATATCTGTGGTCAGCCTAACTTAAGAAGGTCTGAATTCATGGACCGGCCCTACAATAGACTCCGCTCCGACCAGAAACTCCAAGGTGTGTAAAAGGCTAGTCCAAACTTCGGCGAACACACTTCGCCTCACTTTGAGACAGGTGCTTGTCTGCAGTTCAAATTGCTTCACGTGCACCCAGACTTTTACGTCCTTGGGAAAATCAAACCTCTTTTTAGCTAAACTCACAGGAAACAATCAAGATAATCCGATTTAACACTCAATTTGTCTATGTTGTACTTGCCAAAAAAACAAAGATTGTCTGTGCCATTAGAGACACACTGTTCTGTTTCCTCAAAAGATAAACACATCCAAACGCAATATAGTAGACCTGTGAGCGTGTAAAAATAATATAGACAGTGCATAACTTTGTTGTTGCTAACATTTTGTGGCATAAGTCTCGAGACAGTTTCTTTCAACAAACTGTAGCATTTGTGGAGCTGGCATAAAAGATACATGGCCACACCATTTCGTATTAGTAGCGCCTAAGAGCCGTCCACTTAAGAGCGTGCGTTAATCTCTGAACAGCGGATTAGGAGGTATTTAGTCTTTACGTCATGAGTCTGAATGGCTTAAGCCATGGAAAAAGGCATGAAGCAGGTTGGGTCGTATTTCTACCTACGAGATGGCTAGACTGCACTGACTTCAGTTGTCATCAATAATTCTTTTTTGCTGGGGTTGTTGTGGAGGAAACGACAATATTCAAGTGTAAAAATCCACTGCTGCACAGTTCAGATATGATTGTTGTCAGGGATTGTTGTCAGGGCTATTAACCCCCCTCCCCTCCCTCCCCTCGGCAGAACACAGTTTTCGACCTATGGGGATTTCTATAGTTTGATGCCATGGTTTAGGACCCCAAGGTGACTCACTTCGATGCGGTAAACATTATAGTAGGGTGCCCAAGAGAAATACCTTTAGTTCATGGTACATGAAAAAGTTTTTCGCGTTTGCCTGAGGCCCTCTTTTATATGACGCCCTGCGGAGGTTAACTGAACTGCAGCCGGTTCACTCTAGTCTGGAATGAAGTTGTGCAATGCCGCACAGTTATACACGAAACCTTTATAATCCAAATCATCCAGTCTGAAAGCCGATATAATTTCTAAACCACACAGCAGAGTTTACTACTGGCTACCTCTCACACAAGGCTTTCGAATCAGGCTTCGAGAATTTTCTCCGGGGTTGGCCATTAATATTAATACTGTGTTCTGCGACCGTGAAGGAATGCACAATTTGTTTTGTTTTCCCATTGCCTCTCATATGTCAATTCTCCTTGGCAACTTGTGTAGCCACCGTACAATGTATGCTAAACAACAGAGAAAAAAGATATAGCAATAAAACATATCATGTAACTTTTACCAACTGTGCCCTGAATACTTCTGCCAACTATGACTTTCTGAAAACATGTCCTGGAACCGAATTATGGCATTTTCGACGTACACAAACAAGACTTCCGAAACCCTTATCTTCGCATTTAGCCCACCAGGGCAGGAATATGCAATTAAGATTCATTCATTGTGTAGTTTTCTCATTGATGACGCAAATAAGGCCCTTGATCATTTCCATCCAAATACATGGAAGTTTACTCTCACGGAAGGTCTACAGGGAAAGCACCAGCATACTATTTGTATAGATGCAGTGTGCATACACTATTGCTGTGTGGCGCTTCTGTAATGTAACAGGTGGCATCTGTGGCGGACACCCCCCCCCCTCCAACACCACACCCCCTTGTCCCCTCGCAGAGAATCCCGGCCCCCATTCTTTGCACGTTGGGAAAATCTTCTTACATCTCGTTTTAAAGGACTTTCGACAAACTGTAGTTTTAATTCCGGAAAGCATTTTGCGCCTAAGGACTTTGACAGTTCCTTCGCCACGGCTGTTGTTTTTGCCTTCTGTAAGGTTTACTGAATGAACAAGTACCCTCTTGTCACTTTGTACTTTTACCTTCGCACTCAAATATCGACTACCGATATTTCATTTAAGCCCCACGTCGCAAATGGGCAGTCCAGAATGTCCGACTACAAGGTTTGTGCAAAACTTGTATCTAATTATAATATACTAAAACGATGAAAATTCTTTTTTCTGTGAGATTACCGCTCAGAGCCTACAGATGGATGGCAACGTTAGAGTCAGAACTTTGGGCGTAGCTTGTGCAATTTTTTTCTGATAGTTACACCGGATGCCAATCGCGACTAAGCAAATATTCGGGAAAACACTTATCACATACACAGTTTAGAGTCTTGAATGGTTTTGTTAGTCAGTTGTTTTATATAATTTATATCTACCTGTTTGTCTCAGTTACATACATTGCGTTTGTCAGTGTTTGCAAGTACTATCATAGAATGTGGCTGCATGATTTCTTCATCAATGACGCAAAGTTTTCATTTGAATAACAAATATTTCATTTTCTCAATCACCATTTAAGCTGTATACATGTACAACCAACAACCAAAAATCATGACGATCAATCACACTTTAATTTTATGAATAATTCTCTTCCAAACTCTCAAACAAATTGGCTCCTACGCCAAACAAGAGCTCTGTTTCAACCTCGAAGCAGAGAGACGATGCAAGCACCGCCATCTCAGACAGCTAGGTGTAGACCTAGAGTTAGACATTACCCATGTCCGTTTCCTCCTTTTGTCCTAGATTTCCATAGGTTGCGTTGGGAAGCGTCTGCTCAGCCAACCTAACAGAAAAAAAGACAAAACATAAACAAACAAACAAACAAACAAACAAACGTACGAACAAATGGATCATTTAATTTGTGTAGCACAGGTAACCTCGACGACGCACAACAGTTCCAAAGTTTTTCAGAGATAAGATTACATTTCGTTTTAAACAAACGTCATTGTTGCATGTTTGTTCTTGAATGTTGGGGCAATGTGCTAGAGCTACGGATGTTTGTATCTTTTGAAACTAACTAATTCCAGACATAAACTCTGAAACCTTTAACTCACATCACAGAAACGTGACATGTTTACATTCGGTATGATTTCGCTGATACAATAATTAATACCCAGTCCTCCCCCACTACCGACAAGTTGTACACCGAACGTCGTACCTCCTATACATTAACGCTTCTTAAATCCACATAGGTGTGCGAAATCATACAAAGCATCAGCAGAAAGGTGCTCATAAAATATTAAAGCCCGGCGACACGGGCTTTTACCTCTCGTTAGCACTCTGTGACTGCCTAGCCGGGCGGACAATAGCGGGGACCGCCGGGGACACTAAGTATGTGGACATTCGCGTGAGCTGTTTTTACTGGGTGGTGTTTACATCGTCAGCGAAGGGACAATGTCAAATGTTGTGTACGATTGCAAAGTTTCAATCACGCACCCCTTCCGGGTTGCGACATCAGTTGATATATTTACTGTCTTATAAGCTTGCACTTTCTTATAGAATTCTACTCCAGGGTAGTTCTACTCCTACCTAACTAAACTGACAAGTTGAGTTTATTGTACATCAAGCGCAAGCTTAAGCATCAATTAAGTATTGTCGTCTCAACCCTCCTTGAATGGGTGATGAATAAATGAATCCTTAATAGGAGTAGTAGTTAGAGCTTCATGGTTGTTCCCCATATCCCAGTGTCATATCTGCATCGTTTATCAATCTATTAATGAATGATGTCGAAAGAATAATTTCTGAGGTATTGTGATTGGACATCCTCTGCGTCAGCTGTTGCTAGGTGACCACAGTGGGAGGGAGAACAAGCGAACCGATGCCTTTTCAATATGCAATTTCTGAAGTAGAGTGTGACGTATATCACCATATATTCGTCAAGCATAGTTACCAGAAATATGTATTTAACATCACACGTTACCTTACATTATATGGTAAAGAGATTGTGTTTCAGTAGCCATTTGACAGTCCCGATGTGGCTATAGCAACCATATGCTGCTGACTTGTCAAAGTCTCTTTCTCCGTGTTAGTGACAGAATATGGCAGAATTCTGACAAATCTGAATTGCAGTCGTGATTTTCGTTCGCTCACTGATTTAGTTTCTATATATACATGTAGTTCTGAGGGTAGGCGTTCATGGGACGTCACATGTTTATGTGTACCCTGTTACCAGGTGACTCCTCCCTGTGTAACGCCCCCTCCATCATAGTACTCTTCTGTCGCTAAATTTGATTTACACTCTTAATGTCTAATGGTTGATACTTTGTCCGGTTTCCGCTGTATTAAACACTGTCACGCTAAATTCTATGGAATGCTTTTAGCACCGGGACATCGTAAATTACTGTTGTTCACAAAGTTAGATCTTTATATGAAAGAGAAATAACCTGTGACTCTAATTATTAAAACACACACACACACACACACACAATTTTGCTATTGAGGCTTTGATCCCTTTTATATCAGAATTGAGCTGATAACAAACACTGATTATTTTTGGTCAAATTTATTTTTTGAAATTATAATCAAGGCATCCATGGTTTATCAGACCGACAATCGAGTAATAAGTTACCCACCAATACAAACGATGTAAGTGATGACGAAGTCATTTGGCATCCATAACTCGTAAGCTGTGCGTACAGGGCAGGGATTGGACAAAGCTGTCAAAGGGCAAGGACAATATATTTGTAAATTGGCTTGAGGTAGTGGCTTTTGCTGTCTTGTGACAAAAAATGTCAAAAAAGTATGGGCGGAGCGAATTTCGGAGGATTTGGTACATCCTGCTCTCCATGTTCTTAGATCTAAGAATGCTAGACTTCGATAAATATGATTATGAAATATGCCTCGAAATTTAGGGATATGCGCCATTAAAGTTTATAAGTCATCGATTATACATTACCAGCAGGACCACACTCGCAAACTCTAACGGCATCTACATTAACGGTTCATTTCTTTTGACGAAAAAGAAAACCTCCTAATTAAAAAAAATGTTACGATAGAAAACGCAACGTTTGCAGATTGAACCTTTTTCTGACTCGCTCTCATCCCAGAATGACTCCGAGGATCCCCAATGATCTGTTGCTGTGACAGTCTCCAAACAGATCCTACAGTGCCCGGACAGTAACCATTGGTCAAGCAGTGACCTTTAGCCATCGAAGGTACTGGTCACTTCTTGGCCAACTGCCTTGCCACCGTAGGATCTGCTTGGAGATTAGTGATAGTTGCATATTTCGTGCGTCCTCCTTGGTTCATACATGTACATCAGGCGATCTTCGTGGAGTTTCCTTTATTGTCATGGCAACGTCCGGATCCGGACGGGGTTCTCCTCGTGACCAATGAGATCCACTCTGCCACAATGGGCGGAACCAACCCGTTCCACAGGTTTACTTTGACTTTTACCCTGGGGGAGAATTCCTGTGTTTGGCAGTTTGCAGGCAAACAAAAAGATCCTTGTTTTCCGTTCGTGCACCGAATAAAGAGGACGAGTATTTCAGCGAGGGTACTCTGAGAGACCCAGATGGCTTGTAAAGAAAAATGTCAACAACTAAACCTGTTTGTTGATATATAAGCATTTCCTTCAGAAACTGTGTTGTTGAACTTAATAAACACTCTATAACGCCAGGTAAATTTATCCCCCTGGTCGTTTTTCATGGGAGAGGGACCTCACATGGCCTTACAGGTTTGACAGGTGCAGAGGAGGCTGTGGGGATATCATAATCTAAATTTGTGTAAAGCGTATTTTCAGCTTTACATAGAAATCTAAGTTACCGATAGTTCACGGAGTTGTCGACAACTTCGTAATGGTATTATCTTCATCGTTCATGCATATGGCGGCCCTGTTAAAAGGCTGTTTGATCCTGTTTCTACATTTTTAGGATACCGAATAATTTAAATAAATCCATATTCCATTCCAAATGAATTTGTTATCGCATATAAAACATAAACCCCGCCAGTATAATTCCCTTGACATTTCCCCCAGCTAGTGACGACATCATAGAGTTTGTTTTGTTCTGTCCTTAGTCACCCCCCGCGTTTACGCAAGCAAACAATGCGCACACCCCATGCAAAGAAACAGCCTCATGCATAATTCCGCAATGGGACCGTCCGGCACAGGAACCGTCGCGAAGGGACTGAACACACGCTCCGGAAAACTCTACCAAGCATGGCGCCGGTTTCTGGTTAGTTAGGGTTTTGAAGAGAAGGAACCAAGACGCGAGACCGCTGGAAACTTACTAATTTGTTGATCCAGTTGTGAAGTTTGGTGCCGAGTTTTATCGGCTGAATCAAGTGACGTGACTACAGGACAGACAACTTTCATCACCAGAGTCTGCCAAGAAACACTCAGAAACCGGCAAGATGGAGGGATGACGATGTGGAGGGACTGTAGAGGAACTGACCACATGGGCCGACCTTTGGCGTGTTAAGTCAGCGAGATGGTCTACTGTAACTGCACAACTAAACTTACAGCGTTCTAGGCACGACTACCAGGAATTGTATCGAGTGAGTTTACCGCGACTACGGAGCAAGCCCTGCGGGGCGAACCGTGACCATGTCCGACAAGGGTGAGGAGTCTCCCACCGGTGCCACTCAGGGAGGGGGAGACTCGACTTCGGTCAGCTCCGGCTCGACCTCGGCCGTTCCCGTCGGATCCAGGGTCCTTCTCTACAGTCAGAAGGGAGAATGGGTGGCCGTGGAACAAGTCCTGAGAGGGCTCGGGAAGGGAGACCCGGAGATCCACACAACGGAGGAAGTATGTACATGTAAATGAATGGGTGATGTTAAACGTTACCTGTCGTCTCACCTGCGACGTTCACACGGGTAGAGTTTGCACTGCGTCTTGTACTTTAGGGGGGAGAACGGGGCAATTAATTTTCTCAATTATCTGAAGTCTTAGGCTAGCTTATTTCAAGAGGGTTCAATACTTTATTTATAATTTATATCATAGAAAATAAATTTAAAACACAGGTGGAATTACAGGTGTTCAGCTGAGCACAAAGTGTAAAACACTTGTACATGTACAAAGTAACGTCTGAATGGACCAAATTGTCTGTCTCCTCAGAATGTCACAGTTGGATGCATGAACAGTAGGACTTGAAAATTACATAAAGTGACTAGCGTTAATTTGCCAAAAAATAATCATCATTAATTTGTCATATATTTTATGAAGAGAATAATTTATTTACTTCCCTCATGGATATAACATCTACAAAAGCAAAATATATTTGGCAGCTGTCAGTAATACATTGTAGTATTACTAAATGAAAGAAAAGTGAAGATTTGATTGATGTTGTTCACATAAGAGAATCTTGAAACTGGACATAATTACAACTAAATACTGTAGTAGATGATATATTGTGCTTGGTCAATGTTGTATCCGAATTTTGCCTGTTGTAGACGATGTCTTAAAATTTTTCGACACAACATTTTAAAACTATATAGACTTGATGTCACATATTATTAATTGTTCCAAGAAAATGCTACAATAGGCTTCTTTGCTAAGATTAGACTTTCATATTCCTTCAACAAATGATGATATTGTGAACCAGAGTCTAGTTGTATCCAGGCTTTTATCTTAAAAGAAAATGAATGGCATTTTTTGGTACCTTGAGGTAATTTAGAACTACAATAAGAAAGCTCTTCCCTTGTACATGTACTAGTAAGTACTTTCTGAATGTGGATATAACATGATTTATGATATTGGACACTTTTGTGTCTTAGGAAATAGAAGTATGATATCCTAGAAGCATTTGAATGAAAGTAGCCCAGGTATTATCTGGATGGTATTTATTATGCTTTCAAGAGTTATTGCCTCAGTGGGAAGTGGGTAGATATGACCCTTGGCTAAACACAGACATCTGGTAATGTCACAATGTTTTTCCGTACGGTAGATATGCATTCTGTGAATTAGTCATTATACAGAAACTTTCAATGACACAACAAAACTACAGTGACTTCCATGGCATAAGGTCTTCTACAACTTAGTAATTATATATCATAGGTACAGTATTACTAATACTGTACCTATGATATACCCATAAATCTGGTACATCTGGTAACATTACCACGAGCTAAAATAAACAAAATAAAAATGTTAATTTGGGACCTCAATAACTGCAACCACTCAACCAAAATTCAAATACATTTGTCAAAATGAAAGGCTCTTGAGTTATATATAATAATGTGCACCATTGAGAAGTTGCCCTCCTTCATGGAGCTTACAAACCTTATATATTTTTATCTCCAAGAACACCCTAGGGTGGAAAAAGACTGAGTATCAAGTTGGCCAGGCAGTATCCATTTGCCAGAGATGGTCCATATACCACCCTTGTGAAAAGCTTGTTACTTTTTATCATATATTATACTGTGTATGTCAAAATTCTATTTATGACAAGCAAAATTTAACTTGAATCAATTGCTGCCAAAGAAAGGTTCTACCTCAAATTAAGTCACTATGATAACCTTTATTAATTTCAGGAGACAGGGGTGACCCCTTTGATGATTGCAGTGCGGGAGAACAAGTTGGTGGTAGCAGAGCGATTACTTGAACTTGGAGCAAACCTGAATGACAGGGCAAAGGTAAGATATTACTTACTGGACAAGTTTTCATATTAAGTTTGAATTATATTTAGTTTGAAATATAATAAAGTGGCAAGGTGGTCTTGTGGTTAGGGTTGTTGAGTCATCAGAATATAGATACCAGTAAGTGAAGGTTCTGGGTTCAAATCCCTGGCAGGTCCCTCGGTGTTTGATCACGACTGTCTCTGGTCACAACTTTTGATATCTTTGGTCACGACTTTTGATATCTTTGGTCACGACTCTCTTAAGCATGCTGGCTGAGCTAACTTGACTGACAGCAACTTGACATATTGATTAACAGCAACATGTCTCTGTGTCAAAGAAGTCTTTGTCTGCTTAAATTCCTAGCTCCTGTCATCATAACTCGAAAAGCACTCAGAGTACTCAGTTGTAAAAGGGATGTTAGCACAAGAACACACCTGTTCTAAACAAGTTTAAGGATTGCAAGTTCACACTCCTACACGCCAATCTCAGAGTTTCTATGTTCAAATTGTAGTCATGACTTGTCTGCTCTGTTGTCTGGCTCTAATCTTCGCAAAATGAAAGAGGATGAAAGAGATTCAGTGCTAAATCTTCATAACTTTCACAGTATAATGATGAAACTCAAACAATGAATGTTCTGCAGGAAATTTAGTTTTACTTCCTTAACTTTTTGTATCCGTTATCAACGGGTACGTTTTATACCCTGTATTGGTACTGTGATTGATGATAAACCAATGCAGTGTAATTTGTAACTTTTTTGTTCCTCTGATTGTGATCACGCCCCATGCAGTAATGGACTTTGAAGTTCAGCCCAGGAGAGATTATCTCCACAGTCGTGACATACCTGACATAGTTAACCTTATAGGTGAGGGTGTCTGCAGTAATCCTATTACTGAGCACACCTGAATTAGTGTTCCCCTCAGACAGGTGGGCTCCAGGTAACAAAACACCTGAAAGAGAACAATTCTTAGACTATTTAGTTTGACTTGAATACTGCATTTTATCATGTGCTAATCCCCACTACAAAGCAAGCTATTGAAAAGAAATCAAAATGGTGTTTGTATAATAATGTTACTGTAGAGCAATATCGAGATAAAATTTCAGGCCTATTTTCAAGGTCATTCTTACTTCTCGCACCTCAAAGACACCAGTTGAAACAGATTCAAAAGAAGCTAAAAATAAGTTACTAGTACTCATAAATGAGACAAAATCTGCTCTTATTAGAGCTGATTTCTGATGATGCATAATGAAACTTCATTGTCAGAGAATAACATCAAAGTCAAGTGCTCAGAATGGCGTACATGTATATGGTAGACGGCAAAACAATTCCCAGTTACCAAAACAAAGTCGGTCCATGCCTGTTACTTGATATCCAAAGGGAGACACAAACAACTGAATGTTTAGTAAACAACTTGCTGTACATGTATCTTGGAAAACACTGTCAGAGAATGGTGCAGACAGTATTGCTGAGCTGGTAAATGCTGTCACTCATTATCAATTATTGATTCTTGATTGAAATTGGCTGCTTTGCACTGTCAATTTGTCATGCCAAAACCATTGAGCAAAGGCCCAGACTGTATTATGTATACAGTCACCTAAGCAACCATGGGCCCTGGGGAAACTTGTGTGGGAAAGTCCATGATGGCCTTGGTGGAATAGGTAAACTGGGGCCAGATCTATACCACATCTTCACTACTGACTAGGTCAGGCCAAGAGTAATCTGCCAATCCACAATCATGACCCTAGCATGAGAAGAAAATGACATATTGACACACACACACACACACACACACAAACACAAACACATGCAATTTTAAAAACAAATTCTGTTTCGAATTCTGCAGTTAATGCCCTTTAATTTGAGAGATATGTAATTCATAATAAATTGAACCAGGTACAAAATGCATGTAGCATTAATGGTATTCTGAATTTCATTTAGTCATGATACTACGGGTTACTATATACACATTATTTAACAGGCTATCAAATTTGTTGGGTTTTCCTTATTTGTTATTAACATTTGTACCTGCTGCTAAAAAGTACACAAGTTTTGAAAACCAAATTAAAGAAGGCCAAACACCCTAGCTAGTACCCATTCAGTATAAGATCTTACCCAGGGCACAATGTGTGTGTTTGCTTAAAACTGATAAACAAGGTAACAACACAACCATGTGGCTCCCCCCTTGGTAGGGAGATTCCTGTTTCTCCTAGAACCCTGAGCTTTGCTTCTGAATGTGGGTGATAACTTGGCATCTTTACTTAAAATAGCTGAACCTCTTAACAGTGTTTTGTGACTTAAGATACATGTACAATGTAGTAAGTGATTATACTGGTAACCTCAAGTTTGACTAAGTTAAAGAGAAATTGGTATGAATCATTGTCATTTAGCTGTGAAGGTAATGAAATGTTGTAATCATAGTTAAACTTCACTGTTTTTTACTTGCATTGGACATGTAATTTAGTCGCACAATTTTTCATACCAGTTAAGATAAAGATCATAATGAGTTGATCCCTGAACTAGCAAATCTATCTTCAGTTGGTTTGATATCCGGAATGATGATCAATCACCAAAGTGTAGAGATTAAAATGGCTGATTATTATAATTACCATCTTCCACATACAATTGTAGCCCACCTGGAAACATTGGACCTAATATAGAATGTACAATTGCACATGATATACATGTTGTACAAAACTGAAACCTCACCTTTACCCAACACAAGCCTGAATGACAATGTCATTCCGAATATCAAACAAACAAGATAGGTCTGCTAGGAATCAACTCATCTGATCCAGGGGATTTGTATACATATTTACATGTACCTGCATCTACGAGGGCATATATTATATATAATCAGCCATTTTCATTTCAGGTAATTCAAATTAGTGGTAGTACTGAGAAACTAATCTCAGACTGGCAACTTGTTTTTGGACCCACATTTTTTATCCAGCCTAAAAACTTTTATGCTGATAAAATTGAATTAAGCTGTGCAAAACTGTGGCTTGTACCTTCCTTTCTTTCCTTTACTGTCATGGGAGCTTGCTGGGAATTCTTCCTTTTGTTAAGAACACGCACGCATTATTACTCCATTCCCAACAGTTATCATCATTATTGCTTTATTAGACCCTGTAGGGAAGGCAATAAATTATTCATGCCTCCTTCCCAGGGAGGTCTTCAGGGAACAATTCACCTGTCTTGATGGGTTTGATCATGTTGAATTGTTATGACAGTATGATACTTGTAAATCATTATTGCACCTTAGTATTAACAACATTTAATTCTTGTAGAAAAAAGTTGAGAAATACCAGGTGATGAAGTAAATGGTAATAAATCAAACTGCAACCAGAAAAAAATCTAAAAAAAGTTATCAAGAAAAAGGATTTTGCATAAAAACATTCAAGGCTTTAATTTCCCAATGGGTAGAGCCATGTGTGCAATTGATTGACATTTGGTAATTGCAATACACTAAATAATTTTCTATGTTAAATCCCCATCGAATACTCTTATATCTCACATGTACATATTAACATTTACTGACCAGTACATAAAGAGAAGACTATGTCAGGATACTATAATGACAATTTATAGTTGAATAGATCAGGGTTTCAGTGCACTACAAAGATGTGTTCAATCAGAATTCGGGTACTCCTGGCTATAACCCACCATAACCTCTGACCTTGAGGTTTACAAAGAGGCAGGTACAGTATGACCTTCTGACATCTGTTTGAAACCCTCTCCAAAAAGACATACAAATAAGATTATTTACTCTCTATACAACCACACTGCAGGCACTGATCAGATTACATTGTTAAAAGCAGACCAGTAAAGAAAGCTCAGTGCCTCTCTGCACAATTACTATTTGACTTTAAGTTGACAATATAGAAAGATTCCTCACACAAAGGCCCAGTGCTGCTCAGATTTATTCAGGCTTTGCTGAATAGATACTGTAAATGTAACGTCTTTTTGACTGTTTCTTTTTAGTAAACCTACTTAAAAAGAATTCTTATTTGCTACTTTGCCTTTCTACATAATTGGGTAATAATAAAGAAATTCCTCACATAATTATTCAAGGCAGGCACAGTGAATAATGTCAGCACATAGTAGATAAAATACAACACACTTAGGATCCATTTGTGCAATTGAAAATATATACTGACATTTGATAACAGGTGAATATTGAAGAAAAAGACATCCTATCTACCCCTGGGCATTTTATATAGATTGCTTACAATCCATGACAGGCTAAGAGGTGCAGACACAGCCAGCAAACCAATACATTGTGTATTACCATGACCACTGTACATCTCTTAGCCAAAGCCAAAGCAGTGTACATGTACTTAGCTATATACACAAGCGTACACACAGCCAGGCTCATTGGTACTTCAGACACATTAACGTCCCAGTCCATTAAGGGTCTCGTATTATTCACAACTTTAAACTCACTTTCTTTTCCTACTGTGACCTCTTCACCCCAACTGTGGCCAAACAGTTGAGTGTTGACAGAAATTTTCTCTTTACGTTTTTCCGTTCTTTAAAGTTTAGTTAACAGAGTTGCTGTGTTTAGTACACAAGGTTATTGTTCAGGTCACATTGTAAAGTTTGTACCACAAGGGGTCACTGTTTCTTTGGTTACCATGGCAACTGTCACTCTTGCTTGATGGTGGGCCTACATGTATGACTACTGTACAGCCTCAGACTAGCTGTGCTGAATTTTGTACCCTAACTTTTATCTTGTGTCTGGTTTTGTACCTCCATGAAAATGGAGGTATTGTTACAATTACATGTAACTGCAATTGAGTGGTGTGACCAGGCAAACTAGGAAATTAAAGGGTCATTGACCTTTGGTTGACATTGATTGCTGCCTGTATTGTTATTGACTACTCTATAAAAGTTTGACAGTTTTTACGTCAATTTTTCTCTGTTTTTGTAGATTCTCACTGCAATCATACATGCACAGTTACCCATGTACAATGTAACAACATGACACGGCATAATATTCTTCACACTTAAGGTTTAATTTGTGATTTTTGACCATAATTATGGTTACTTTTAGACCAAAAATGTGTATCCTGGAAGAGCCTGTCCTTCAATGGTAATCAAACTGGGCAATTTTAAAAACTTTATTTTTGACTGAGGTTAAATCTTTATTAGAATAGCTAATGAGTAAATGTTTTTTTTTGCTGTAATCTAGTCCGTTACATAACATTGGAATGATGGAAGAGTCCATTATTGCATGGGGGGATAATTTCTTTGAAATTCAATTTTGGACTGGGGTGATGAAAAAGTCCATTTATTGCGTGGCAGTGTTTTTTCACTGGTCCATTTTACATAGTATACTGAATAGTCCATTACCCTGTTTTGCAACCAACAATTATACTATCATGTAGATGCTAATGTCAGCTACTTTATATACTTTCAATCCTCCTCTTAAGCTTCTTTACAAAAAATGTACCTTCACTTCAATGGGGTCTCCTTTACCTTATGTTTCATATAACTGTGATCATCTGATGTTTGCCTTGAAAGTGACCAACTTAAGATTGCAGTTAATTCTGAATCCTGGTCTGTTACTCAAGACATCAGCACACTCGAACATGCACAAGTCCTGTACCAACTCCTGGGGAGGTCCCACCTGTATGACTAGTGTTGACAGTAACATCAGGGGTTGGAGGTAAAGTAAACTCTCCAGATGTCAAGAGTGCAAACAGACCCACACTAATCTCTCAGCCACGTCCTGCTAGTTTCACACTGTGTGGTTAAGAGAGTCAATCCAGAGGCAGATTATGTCATCACTCTATACCTCTGTGCTTTAACTTGCCGTGCCATTTACGGCCACAGTGCACCAGGTCTCAGGTTATATTTTTTGTCAGAGTGCCATACATGTGTGTGGATACGATAACTCACAGATGAAGAATGAAGGGCATGGGTGGATTGTCTTGATATTTGGTATGTAGGAACAATGTACATGTAGGTGTCTGCACAGTGAAGGTCAAGTTCATTTATGGACCCTCTAGTGGTTTGTTATGGGACTGCAGCAGAACTTACAGGTTTTGATCTGAAAATGATACAGTCACCAAATAAGCACTATAATAATAATAA